CTATGGGTGCCTAGTAGGGCGTACCCACTTGTGATCTGTTGAGGGTGCTTGGCCGAGAGAACTCAGCTAGGATACGTTCAATAGAGTGAATTATGTCAGCATCAGTGTCCATGACTTACTAAACTAATTATTTTGAGGATTTACTTACCGTTGCAATGTCACTAAGCCAGGAACGTTTGTACAATCAACTCTGTGGCACATCAAGCAGATAAATCGGAAAGAATACAAAGTAGCTAACTGTGAGGAAAAAATTTTTGTAGCGTGGTGTCGAGTCGAAATTGACTATGAACACCGCTACCAAGAAACACGTGCCAAATAAATCCATAAAATCCCCGAGAAGTCAAATATCAGAAGGCAGTTAATGGACCAAGTCGATATATATTTGCTGGCTATCTCGTGGTATCGAAAGGATACCGAGATCGTGTCAGGATACAAACTTGATTACAGAACATAACCGAATTCGCGAGAAGTCACAATCAAAGTGTAAGAATAATGGATGCTTTTTAGCAGTTAAACAAAAGCACATTAAAACAGTCACTGGTACAATTGGTTATAATAATAATTGTTTTCAACAAACCAGTCGTGTTCTCGTAATAAAAGTGAGTCACTACATGTTCATAAACATGTCAAGGAACCTATTTCTACTGTGACGGTATGGCAATTCACTTAATTTAAGGAACTATAACTAAAGAGTTGATGAAGCCTCCAAGTCTAGAGGTCAACTAATTCTAAATTAATACCACCCAATAAAACAAAGTGTGGCTTAAAACACGTGGCCAATCACACATGCCCAAGAAAAATAAAGATATCGGCAAAATGATGCCGACCAAAATGACAAGGCTTGTTAAACAACTTATTTAACGGGCTTGATAAATCTAAACATACTCTATTGGTAAACAAATAGATCAGGAGAAAAAGATGTTCACCAACCTAAACGTTTGGTTAACTCCACTGATTAGGCTAAAAATACGATTTTCTGTAGCTTTTTACTTCGCGCATCACATCATTATTTTTCACACACAACATACCATATGCACATGCTTTGAACACTCATAAATAATCTCACATCACCTCACCATGCATGGCTTAATTTTCACTAATTAATATTGAATCTTTTAATGGATTTCACCTTGATAAACACTATTGTGTGTCCTTTGATAAATATATACAATACTAATAACAATTTTGCATACTATTACACCTTTAATACATCATAAATTTATCATAAAAGCGACTTATGTCATATTACACTTTTTATGTTTGGTATTTACTTCAATTAGCCAAACTTAATTTGTTGCTAAGTTTTGTCAGTGCTTCAATCTTTTGAATTTCACCAAGTCTGTTAATCTTTCATTACTGATTGTAAAACATTTTATTTAAAATTCCAATGTTGTTTTTTGGTGCGAACACACTTCCTTAATTGATTACCAATTAAGCACACCGTCCGTACTAATTAACTATTTTATTCTTAACGGTGACTCTGAAATTTGTCCATTTTACAACCTACTCTGTTGGTATGTTTACAGTGTAGTTTCATTGTCTCATTCTGCCAGATATGAGCGCACTCTCTTTTGTTAAAGTACAGTATTTCTTGCGTTGTTCATGATAGATAAAAGTTACATACGTGTTTTACAAATAGCTGGGGACACTGAATGTCTGTGAACAAAACTGAAACCCCTTTATGTGTTCAAAGACAATCTGTTCTTGCCCTTAACCTACCCTCGTAATGCTGGCTTATTATCAAGCGTTGTTTTTCACATCGTGTGCCTTGTTCCTCCTTGCCTTTTCATTTGTCTAGTCGACCTTTTATTTTTTGTATACAAAGTCTTACCAAGTATATGTGTGGTCAAACTGTTCGAACTGTATTGGGCGAGCATATCACATTATTCTAATAACCTTCGTCTTCTCATCGCATTATCCAAATTAATTTTCTAAACACATAGAGGTATCCTGTTTGTTGAAATTAACAGAAGAAACTTCTTAGTATCCAGTTTTTCAAGATAAGTAGAATTAAGAGTGCTGGACACAATACCCAGATCTGTTCAATATGTACTGTAGTAGTAATGAATGGACCATCACTGAAGTCTCCTTATGCATAAAATCAGTGCTTGTTAGAAATAAACGACCGTCTGAACACAGTTGCAGCAGACGGTCAACATTATCTGTTCTCTGATCTGGAATACCAAAGTACCCGCCTAAATGTCTTTCTGCTTGGTTTAACCTACCTACTTGAGCATTAAAGTCATCTGCTAGAAGTACTATGTTCGAGCGTTTAGCTTTTAGAAGAAGTTCAGAAAGCTTTCTGTAAAAGTCGCTTTTCATTTCATCCAGGGTGCGGTCAATGGGAGCGTAGGCAGAAACGACGAAAAGGCAACGACGTGTGTCCCTATCCTTCCGAGTTCCTGCGGAACCGTTTAGCGAAACAACACATAGGCGACTGCTAACGGAGATCCATCCTAATAGTGCTTGTTCTACCCTCGTGCTTAAAGGTGTGTCCACACCTGCTAGTCCACCAGAACTGGCCGTCGGGTCACCAGACAAACGGAGGGTGTATCTCGTTGGCTCTCCGTTTTGCGGAGGTGAGGTAAAGTGAATAACCACACTATGATCCTGTATGCGTGTTTTAGAGACACAGCATACATCAATGGTACGAGATTATAGGGTTCTAGCCAAGAAAGCCTGCTGACCGATTTGATATAGGGTGAGTACGTTGAAGGTTCGAATGTGTAGTTTTGAGAGAGGTTTCAGTAGACCTGAGACAGTGTTTTGCGCACTAGAATGGTTGGCTATGGTGACACTTGAGGGGCAAGTCGAAAGAGAAAGTTTGGCGTTGAAAGTCGAGGTAGGAGGAATAATAAGAATTAAAGAGGAAGATTGTCTATGAATACAGTGATTTTGAGTTCTGTTAGAGGTATGAGGGTGGTTATCACTTTCCGGTTGCCCATACCGTGGAAGGGTCCTTCTTGAGGTACCTGAAACGGAAATTGGATTAGAGGTGATCTTAGTGACCTGATAGAGTGACTGTAGTGCCCAAGAGACTACTGAGTGAGGTCGATCACACACGACTTTTTTGAGCAATTTTCGTGTTAGCTTCGTACTTGTTGAGACCGTACCGCCTGAGACGGTTATCCGTGGGGTAAAGCGGTGTGCATTTTTAGGGTCGACCTTTTCTAACCCCACCCCTCCTCGTGGGAAGGCAGCATCGCTGTCATGCTGGTTGTCTGAAGGGAACACCTCATTGCTGCCACACCTCCGTACAGTCAGCAGTACGACTTCGCCTTCGGACCTTGGGTTTGTTGCTTTTAGTCTTAGCTCTCTTCAACCGACCTGTCTGACATGGTAGGACCTTGAGGAACGGTTGTTCCAGCCAGTATAGCCCAGTTGCTTCATCACGATAGGCAAGCCCGACCACCACGTCAAGGTAGCAACAACGGTCGGGTCAAGATAAGTAGGATTAGGAGTGCTGGATACAATACCAAGATCTATTCAATATGTTCTCTAGTAGTCATGAATGGACCATCACTCAAGTTGGATATAAGACTGTACACACTTGAAGGTATTATATTGCAATTTGAACTAGACGCGCAATAATGTACAAAGTAACCATTATTATGTACAAACATCACAACTTTTCTTACCCACCAACCAATTAAACATTGCACTCTAAGCTGACAACACTTGCAATTTTCTGTTGCATCCTCAGAAAATAATAATAATTGTTGCACTATATCTGAGAAACGATGTATAAAAAACTGGGGATCAGTAAGTAACTGTGTAAATATGTTACAGTTTAGATGAATTCGATCAATCGAAGTAAGGTTTAAACATTTGGATGTGCCATTCACTTTATTCGGACAAGCATAATAACTACCACCAAATTCATTGGGTAATTTCAGACAACTGTAACGAATGCCAAAGAAAGAAGACTGCTTGCCAAACACTGTGCAAAAACATTGACTGCTCCATGGAAAATGAAACCAGTGGATATTTTCGATACGATGAGGCCGGCACACTCGATATCTTTACTTGACCTAAAATTCTCGAAGCACTTTGATGTTAGCTAGTTTAATTGTAATTAGGTCTTCCCTTCTACTATGCCGAATCAGTCGGTCATTTGGAACATAGAATCCGGCACATATTCGCTGCAGTGATATCAAGTTACACATTTGATCCTTCGTAACAGCCTCCTAGCGAACTGTTTTATTGAACAAAAAGGTCTCACGATTTAGTAACTGACATTTCCCGTAATATTGAAGGTGCTATAAAACATAAACTGCGTTTTAGAATGCATGGTAATGTACTAGTGTTTCTGGATACAAACTAAATAAAACGTCACAACTTCCCGACAGAATCCTCTCCTGTTTGACCGAAAATATCCAGAATTAATCGCACACCTCTTTTAATCACTTTTTACTTATCGATGATATCACATTAAATACATATGTTAACACAATTTAATCATATTTCAGACTAAACGATGAAAGTGAATTAGATTTTACAGCTTCGTCTGGGTCATCACATTAAATTGTGTGGGTGTTATCAGACTACTCTTACATTACAAGCCTAATTAACCAAATTATTCTTATGAATTAGACCAACATTCCATAGTCTTTTATTTGTAAAACTTTAATTATTTTTCATAGATAACTTTATTATAAATTTCGTGTACTTGCCATGCAATAAATTTTTAACTATTAAACAACTTCATCCATTGAGCGAAAACTAAATAAGCCATTTTCCCTGAAAATCAGTGTTCGAAATGAGAACTAGCTCCGAACTATCATAGAGATTTATATGCTTTGCACGACAAAAGTACTATTTATTGCATAGCTAAACCCATAATACGTGTGGAAGACTTAAATTGTAAATCGTGCTACGAACTAGCGACCTAAATGTATTCAAAGTGAAAATCGAAAATTCCCTTCGATTACCAATCGACCAGTGAAGAACTCTATGGGATATTTCGAGAACATAAGTCGTATTCAAATCTATTCGAAATTTCCGGTGAATGTTACAAATGATTGAGGAGGGTTTCATTTATCAGTAAGCCTGTACGACTTGTTCCGATAGTTCACTACAAAGAATACACCAGTAAGATAGATCTCACCAATCTATGTAATACCATTATTAGTAAGAAGTAACTAGGATAGATTTTATGTGTGTTGATATTCCTGGCTGAAAATTTATTGTCTAAGTGTATTCAGGATGCGTGTGATACTGAACAGTGGTGAAAACAATCTTTTATGGCTATTTATTCAAAATTACAAATATCTATCACAAAATTATTTTACGAGTATTACATCGCAGAACTAGTAGATGGTGGTTTTACTTTAATCAGTTTTAGTATTCTCATGTACACGACCAATGCGTTCACAAATCTCCTCGTTCAGTGTATATGCTGGATGGTACGCAATTCGTCCACTTTCTGTTATATACCTTAATTGTGGATTGGGATGAGTATCTTCCATACTTCCAATTGATGTGTATCTGTAATACAGAAAAAACGCGGTATTGTTTATTTAAAAATTGGTATAAAAGTCAATTAGAAAAGATGGAATTTAGGCTGAAATAAAAATATTGAGAACAGGAAAATTATAGCTAATAAAAAACTATGCCAATGGTAATTATGACATGTAATTATTCATTAATTAATTAAGGGTTAATCACTGGACTTAATCTTGGCGACTTTAAAGTGTCATGTTTAAGTTTGAGAATAAGGAGTACTTCGCCGAAGTCAAAAGGTAAGACTAAACTTAACTCCAGATCGAATGCAAAAACTTCGATATCAAAGAATATTATTTTCAATATATTCAGACCAAACTCCTTCTCCCTTCAAATCTTCCTGCAAAGAACATTTAGCATCTTTACAGTTACCTATATAACTGACTTCAGCGCTTCAGCTATTAAGTTGTCTAGTCCTGCTGCTTTCCCACTCCTGATTCGCCTGATGATCATCCTAATTTCTTCCATCGTTAGTGGAGTGATAGCTATAGGAAAGTCTGTAGGTTGTGCGTCAGTGTTTGGTGAGTTCAGCCAGGTTGATCTATTAAACAGTTCCTCGAAGTGCTCTACCTGTTTTGACTTTTAGCCCAGCTAATTATCACGTGGTTTATTCGCCAACCAGAATACGACTTGTACAATCTTATCACTGCGCCAAACCAATGACGTTCGACCGGTATGAGCAGTCTAACATCCTTATTGGTCCTTTGTACTACTAGCCCTGCCAGTTGAGTCCAAAACACCAATACCAGCTTCCGCTACGCGAATCATTTACTTCAAACGTACCTGGCTTATACACGAGCCAAACGGACCACATCACACCATAAAATAGGAAATAACATTTGTACAAGATCAGGTCAAAAGGTGGATATGGTTGTGAGTGGTGGTAATTGATAGACTGAGAATAATTTAAGAATAATAAATCGTATCATAATAGTCTATAAGTCAGAATAAAGCTTATAATAAGAGGAATATAGTTATGCGTAATTTAGTTACTGAATAGTTACAAAATAAGAACAAATATAATATTAGTTCATTAATGGTTCTCAGAAGTTACCGATAAACACTACCCACTTGTTTCGCTGTTCTCGAACCTCAGTGATTGGTTTGTCTTTTGTGTTCATGACCGGTTTCTCTGGTTTACTGTATTCTCCAGCTAGTTTCTTTGTCATATCACATAGTTGTCTCATTCCCTTTCCTTACAGGTTCTTCTGTTGTTACTGATATGTCTTCCATATAATCCTGCTTATCACCATTAATGCTCTTCTTCACCCGTTGGTTTGCTTCTGTGCATCCAGACTGAGCTTTAGTTTTCTCTGCTTTCAATTGGTTTCTATTGATTACTCGCTTATTGTTTTTCCTTTATTGAACCAAGTCCAGGGTTTCCATAGAGATCTATTCCTTATGATAATGCTTCTTGCGGCACGCTAAAATCAGTGCTTCTTCAATCCCTTCCCGCTTGTTCTCCATAGCAGTTTCCTCTTCTTTGAGCAGATCTTGTAAGGCTTGGAACCTGATGCTGAAAGTTATCTTGAATTCGTTCAGTATGTCAGTATCTCGATGGAAGACTGTAGTAAACCTTTGCAATACTATTTCTCCAGTTATCCAGTACTTTTCTTAGCTTCAATTCTACCCTGGCAACCACCAGATGGTGGTGTGGAACTATGTCAGTTCCTCTATTGGTTCTCACATCTTTCTCTGACCTTCTGAATATTTTATTGACTCAAGTATGTGCGATCTGGTTCTCCGTAGTGTGATCTGGTGAAACCCATGTACCTTAATGTGTGCGTTTGTGTGGGAATATAGTGCCGCCTATAACCATCTTGTTGAAAATACATAAATTTGCGAATCCCTCATCATTTTTGCAGTTTTCTCCCAGTCCACGGTCGTCTCATGATATGCTTGTACCCAGTGTTGTCCATTCCGACCTCGATGTTTAGGTCTCCTATCATGATGGTTAGATCCTCTTCCTAAGCACTTTTCTACGATCGACTGTAGCCTCTTGCAGAACTAGTTTTTATCGTCTTCATTGCTATCATTGGTGGGTGCATAGCACTGGACAACATGCACCGCGATTCTCTCCTCCTTTGTTTTGAAGGATGCTTTGATGAGCATGTATCCATGCGATTCCCATCTGATAAGTGCTCTTCGTGCTTCTCTGAAGAGGATCAGTGCAACTCTATTTGTGTGCGAGCCTTTACTCTTCGTGACTGGAATATAACCACATCTTTTCGTAATCTTTTACTGTCCAGGTTGGATCCAACAGTTCTCACTTATTTCGGGCACCTTCCATTTCCGTAGCTAGTTGACTAGTTCTTCTGGTATTCCACATAGTCTGGACATTACATGTATGTATATTAATTGTTACTCTGGTTGTGAGAAGGAGCATCAGCCTCGTGACTTCCGAAGAACCTCGACGTCACTATAAGGCTTCATAATTCTTCTAAATGAAGTTCTTTTAACTCCCAAGTAGATTATAAATGGTTAAAATTGTTTATTCTGGGTCGCGTTTTCTTAGCAAGGTTGTTTTCTATGGGGTGAGGTTGCTGACCTCATACCCAACTCTTCTTTACCCGGGCTTGGGACCAGTAGTAACATTAGAGAAGCTACAGGCGGAGGTATCCGTAATGTTAGCTGACGTTTAATTGTTAATGCGTTAACATTGTGGAAACAATGCAGATTTATGATTCACAACATATTTATGATATTTTCTAAAAAAACACTAGTGAAGCATTTTTATTTAAGTTTTTTATTTACAATATTAATGTTGATAATTACCCGGCGTCATACAGACTGCAGTATGGAAGTGAAAGAGATCGGAGAAAATTCCATACATCAGAGTATGTCCACTCTAAGAGTGGATTGATCCGAAGAATTTGAGGCCAACCAGGATCTGACATTACCATATGAGACATTTTGTCTACGTAGAAGATAACAGTTAGACAATGAAACCCATTATTATCTGAAATATATTAGTACCATAGTCAACACAATAGCTATTCGTACAACTTAACTTGCAAAGTAGTCAGCAAACAATTAGTGAACATAGAGGACGAGTTTTTAAACATTATTATCTTATCTGATTCGCCAAAATGTGATCACAAGAGAATGACGCAGGTTATATTATAAACATGCACTTGGGAATGCATAATTAAATAAACTGAAAGATAGGTGTGTTTCAGTGTCTAATGAAATTCTTAACTACGGCTAGTATATTGACATACTGATCAAACCAACCAGCTGAGAAAGCTTCATCGAGTTATGTTAGCTGGGAGATTACTGTCAACACGCCCTGCTCAGCTAGATAGGTCAATCAGAGAGGGGTAAGTTAAGACAAAAAAACAGCAAATTCAAGAGTAAAGTTACAGTACTAATCTTTCTAAAAGCAATTGGGACAGACCAATGAAAACGTCTTATTCTGTGACCATGGTGTGGTAAGAATTCCGGGAGGAGATTCACTTCGCTCGAGACTATTTCACTATCAAATACATGGAGTTGTTTGTGAGGTAACTGAGGTAACTGAATACGACTTGTAATACTAGTGTACAGTCCTAATGAGAAGCCAATTGAGAGGAAATGCTACCTTGTTCATCTTGTTTTTTATCTGATCTCTTCTTGAGAAAACTAGATTTCTTGAAACATTTATCTATTTGTAACAAAAGAACGGGCAATAAAAAAATGAAATAAGTCAAAAAGGAATAACGATACTCACATGCTCCAGGATCTGTATATCTTGTACCCATGAAGGCACCTTTTATTTCAGGATAATCCCCTAAAAATCTTTCCAATGCACTTTGAATAGATCCCTCATATATAAATACGCTACTATCCATTGAGCACGATGAAGACTGTGAATTTACATCGGTTTGTCGCTGTTCATATTGTTTTAAATCTGGTCGTGAGATTTTACTCCATAATGAATAATACACATCAACTGTTTTTTCAACAAATAGTTCGATTTCTGGAAAAGTAGAACATGAACGAATATATAAAAGTTTCGGTAATCTTGTAGGTTTTATATTTTCCGAATGGTTGTTATTATTATGACTTTGATGTTGAATTGCAGCATGGATTAAATGAAGTAACGCTGTGCAATCTTTACCACCATTAAAACATATAACCAGCTCAGAATCACTTTGAAAGGAAAAAGAGATGTAATAGATTCTATTAATTCTTTATATACGCGGTATTTCAATAATGAGACTGATTATGTTTGACTGAAAACCGACTAAGAAAAATGTAACTTATAGTTTGTTTCAGGGCACGTAGGATGGTATGGCTAGACAAGATAGCATTTTAGTCAGTTGGACAGTGAAATAAGAGTTCCCCCAATTTATATTTCAGTTTATCCTGGTACATAATCAGAATAATGCCATTGGGTAGTTTATTGGATTGATGGATTAATTACCTTAGAATATTCATCATTTTCTCATCGAAATTTTAGGATGGTTAAAAATGTATATGGTAACGAGGTGCATCGTCGTTGAATAATAAATTTACACAATCATATGTCAGGTGCCGCTTACAAGAATTCTTCTTTATTAAGACAAGTAGTACGGAGGAAGAGCAGTCGAATTTATCATTCATTAAACTGTTCAATGAAGTCGATCCTTTGTTACGGTAGCAAATTAGTCACCTAGATAAAAATAAGATTTGATATCACTGCCAAGATTTTCTCATCCTATTTATTCACTTTAATAGATAACAATTTAAAAAGAAGAAAAGGAGACAACGAAATATGATCATACGGTACGAATTGAACCCAAGGTCCGAGAGTTTGATCAACTATGGTTTCATAAATGGGTACTGTTGAAGAGTCTCATATTAGGACGACATAACTATCCAGTGCTTACTGGTTTAAAATGATTGCCTGACTAAGGTCAGTCTTTAATGTAGACTGTTAAAATGAATAAATTGGTAGGGTGAAAATAACAGTGTAGTTACTCAATCAAATAGTTAAATCCAGTTAATCTGAAACGGAAAAAAAATAAAAAATTAGTTTGCTGGAAGTGTACCTGTATTTATTCAGTACTTCTTCTATTAACTGCAAAGATTTAGCTACACGTTTACCCAAACTCGATTCTGCCTGCTTACATAATTTATAAACTTCTTCATCAGCTTTATTGATTGGATATGGATTATACCTTATAATGTCTGAAAAAATATAGGGTACAAAAATAAACAGATCAGCGGGAATGAACTACTTAATAACAAATTAGCAAAAAGTGGTATGATAACTAGTTATTATAAATGGGTCGATTTTACATCTTCTAAACCATAACGCAAAACGAATTCTATTGATGATTGTGTTTTGTATAGACATGTTGAGAACTATCATGTAAGATTTTGTGTAAAACGTCTCAACAACTTAGTTAATACTTGAATAAATGAAGGAGTTTGTTATTCATATGTTGTGGCGCCATTCGACAAAAGCAATGGTGTGCCACCGCATTCAAATTTAGATAAAGTATGTATATAGATTTTTCTTGGTTCATTTAAAATCAATCAAGGATTAATTCAATCATTATAAACATTTTTTTAAAGAAATTATCATAAATAAAGTCTACAACTGAAGAAATAAACAAAAGTGAAAAAAGAAAACTCACAGTCTTTAAATAGGCGTTCAGATTCTTCATAAGCCAACTTCAGAGTATTTTCTTCAAGTGAATCAAAGGCTATTCGAACACGATAATAGCTAATAGATAGAAACACGGAAATTTAATAGTTGGATACATTTACTAATAAATGAAATATATTTAATATATATAATAGTAGTAAGAAATAAAATAAATATATACTGGCGATTTGTTTTTCTGTTCGACGTATCAATTTTAAGTGAACTATAACTGTATTTCAATAAATTATACAGGTAACATAAATATAAATGTATCTTCAAAATAAAGACAGATAGAATTACTTGTTATGAAATGCAGGATAAGATCCAATACTGACTAAACCTTGATATTTTTCGGCTAATTGGGACAAATCCTTCGCTATTTCAGTTTCCATAGTGGTAAGATATAAGGAATGATGAAAGAATATCACATTGGGATCTCGGATATGGTCCTGAATACAATACAAAAAAAGATGAATGGCAAAGTGAAAACAATGCAACACAAATTATATGAAGCGATTAAATAAACACAATAACTTTATGGTAGCGTACAGATGTTAACATAATTTTGATGCCTATAATCCTGAAATTGGATGTAAAAATTTCGTGATGGTAGTGTGTTGCTGGTGCTTTGAAAAAGATAATATTGGATTAACAGTATGAGCTTTGTTAAACTAGATTAAAACAAGAAACCATTCTAGTACAAGAATGGTATAAGCACAAGATTAAAACAACTACAATGAATTTTTAGACCGTTTCCAACTGAGAGAAAACAGCTTTCCAGGATGGATAGTTCGTGAGAGTAAAAACCATATTATAAAGTGTAAGCAGATACATAATTAATAGATTAAATTCCTCTACAGCTTACTCTTCCTGTAAATCAAAAAAGAACGTTTACCACTATGATTTTATATAATTTTTCCCGTTGATAAATGTGACTAAAGCAAGAACAACGAATGTACCAAAGTAACATAAATTCATTTATATTGTGGTTTCTTTTTAGCTGCTTAAAATCTGACGTACATTTTTTAATTATATGTTAGTAAAAATTTATTTCTTTGTCACGTTAAATGTCTTGGGCATCACAGATAGATATTTCTACTGCTCGTTATACATGACATTTGAATTTTGTGCTGCATACTAGATGTTGCTTTCTCGATTCTGATTAGTTCATCCCTATAGTAAATTATGGTCAATATAATACATCAGATTGAAATGGACTTCATTCAAAAAGATGGATTTTCATCTGTTTGTGTAAAATTCTTAGGACGAAATGAAATAAAATTTTCGATCTCAATTGCAATAAAATTATTGCTGCATACTTCATGATTAGTTTCATAAATTAACTTAATTCCTATTTAATAATAATAAGCCACCCTCCCAAATATCCCGGTACGGCCGAAGGTGTAGAGTCCGCTCTACTCGAAATGATCTCACATGACCACACGTATGCACCCACTGCTAGGGAAGTCCCACTCTGCCTTCTCGTGGCGGGGGTGTTGTCTACGCAATTGAGAGGACGAAGGGTCAACCTAAGGGAGTTAGAAAACCCTGATTCCGAACCAATAGTGTACATGGGCTCCAGGATCCTGAATGAACAAATGGCATATGAGCCTATTGTTGATCATCGGCTACCATGATATTGCATCTTCCAACGTCACCCCGCTGCCATGTGAACTAGACATCCAGATCAAAGGCTCGGGGAGTGGCTCTAAGAAAACCACCTGCTTCGGTTTTGGCATCCGAGTAGTATCACAGCGTTTACACAAATCGAATGATTCCTGTGGTACATATACATTTGGTGCCTCCGTGTACCAATGTTCATGTGTTTAAATAAATCAATAAAATAAATAGCTATACTGATCATTATGTGCATAACAAACCTCATTAATACCGTATGAATAAGTTGGATATCACGCTATTCACTACCGTCATTCGTAGTTTGAGTAAATAAAATAGTTCTAGACTTTCGGACTAGTTTATTAACCAAAAACTACCATTTAAGAAGTGATTCGTACTGTCATTTGGGTGAAAGGATTATTGTTTAAGGAAATCGTTAAAAGCAAATATGGGAATTCATTAATTATTCTTTGGTTGATTAGTTTTCAGTTTAGCTAGTGACTATTTACTGAAGTTATTTTATAGTACAGATTATGCACGGACTACCAAAAAAATCCTATACTGTGATAAAACAGCCGTTTAATGATTTCTGGTTTTCAGTGTTATTAACTACCATCGGTCTGTGATGGAAGTTTGACAAACGTAACAATCTAGACAAGATAGCTTATACTAAAAACTCCTTATTTATCAGCAGCTTTTTCTTGATAGGTAGTTACTAAGCACACCAAAAGCTAGTCACTGAAAGACAGCAGTAAACATTTTAGTAGAGATGCAATCGTCAAGACAATTGAATATTACCACTAGTGTGCAACGCGAATAGGGTATATTATTAGCTAAAGTATTCAAGGACATCACGGTGTATGTGGAACAAATAAATAGAAGGATACAGAACAGAAAATCGTTGAAATATACGTGAGAAGTCCAAGTGTTTGAATTTGATTTAGAAAAACAAACTGGAGGGAATTACATGCACTGTTTAGGAAATTATCTGCTAGGTCTTAAAAAAAACTTGGAGTGGTCCAAAAACAAGAATAATGAGTTCTCACAAACGAAACAAACAAACATATGGAAACGATATATTCTTACGACTTGAGCACTAACTAATGGCCTAGTCTTAAACACCAACAGTTTTTCTTAGTGCAGTACGTTCTCTAACATCCAATGATTTTGCAGGGTTAAACATTACAATGACCTAGAAACGACAAATTGAGCTTTAGAGAAATCATGCTAAATACCGGTTGGATGAAAGTTAGCTTATATAAATTAGCAGAACTGTTCATTTATTGTGAAGGAAAAGCTCGTTAAAATGCGTAATCTTCCAGAGGGTTATGTTTTCGGGATGGGGAACCCACTGTTAGATATACTGGTAGATGCTGATGATTATATGTATGAAAGATACGAACTACAAAAAGACAACGCCATACTTGCTGAGGAAAAACATATGGAGATTTACGAAGAAATTCAGAAAAGAAAAGATGCGAAATATGTTGCCGGAGGAGCCACATTGAACACAGTCAAAATGATTCAGTGGATACTTCAAAAACCATTTGTGTGTTCGTACGTCGGATGCATAGGTTCTGATCTACCAGGGAAATATATTAAGAATGATTGTCGGGGATTGGATGTACTGACAGATTTCCAGATCACAACAAAACCGTTGAAAACCGGAAAAGTAGCAATCCTTATAAGTGAAAATCTACGTAGCATGGTTACCTACTTGGGAGCAGCGTGCGATCTTTCATTGGCCCACATTGAACAACCACATGTTTGGAGTCTTGTGGAAAAAGCACAAGTGTATTATATTGCAGTAAGTTTAAAATGTGTTATCTAGTTATTTTCAAGGGTTTCGTAATAAATACCTGTTATGAAGGTATGCTGAAAGTAGCTAAACATTCTCTGGAGAATGGAAAGTTGTTCTGTTTCAATCTCAGTGCTGCTTTCCTACCTCAGTTTAATACTAAAGAAGTAAATGAAATGATATCCTACTCAGGAGTGGTAATTGGGAATGAGTCTGAAGCCGCGGCGTTTGGAAATGCTCACAGTCTTACTGATAAAACCATTCATGCAGCAGCCAGGTATATAGCTGACTTACCATTTGTTGATGGAAAAAAGCGTAAACGATTGGTCATTGTAACACAAGGGAAAGATCCCATAATATATACGGATTCTAATGACCCTACCGTTCATCAATATGTTGTAGAGCAGTTGAAAGACGAAGAAATGGTAGATACAAATGGAGCTGGTGATTCCTTTGCCGCCGGATTTATTGCAGATTATATACGTGGCAAGCCAATGATCACGTCGCTGCAGTCCGGTGTGAGAGCTGCGGCTTATATTATACGTAGATCTGGCTTTTCCTTAGGTTCGAGAGAGTCTAGTGCATTCAAAATAAATTTATAAAACAGAACCAAACTTACCTTAATTATCTCTAGTGCCATATTAAATAAGCATGGAACTCCTGGTAAAATGAAGATATTTTTCACTTTGACAATAGGATAAGAGCTTTCACTATCCATCTGGATTCCTGTTGCATATAGTAATTCAGATGACTCCGGTATTTTGGCAAGTTTGGTTATGGGGTCTGAAGAGGAAACCATGTTCGGTTCTGATAGTCTCCTGAGAGTTTGTAAGAACTTTGGATGAATGATAATCTTTTCATTTAGTGCCTTTGCAACACCTTCATATGTCACATCATCGTGAGTAGAACCTATGCCCCCCGATGTTATTACGAAGTCGTAACGGTTCATATAGTCGCGAACTTCCTCTGCGATCGCATCTGAGTCATCGGGAATAACAGAAATCTACATTAGGGTGTTATCTTGTGCACTTAAGTTACCTTCCGAAGTCGTACACCAAAAAGCGGGGCAGTGAGGCACACTTGTCGTGAATTGGAATCTTTCGCTTTTCCATTCAGTATTTCGTCACCGATAACTGAAATTAGTTGTGGTTAAGGGAGATCTGTGAATAAACTAATCACTTGCAACAAATATTTTTTAGGTGTGACAAAGTCTCAAGTCCGGTCGCAGATACTATCTAAGAAGAATGTACAGTTTCTTGATGTGGGTTTGTGTAGCTCGTGAAAGATGTGTCATCGGGATAATGCGTGCCTAGCGTTCCCTAGTTAGAGCGAATCTGTGTACATAACAATGGGAAACCTTAAGTTTCACGAGATATGAACCTGTGTCGATCAATATACTGTAGGAACACGTTAGTTCGACTATTGGGACGATTGTATATCTGAGTAGCTAGGTACATTTTGAGGACATGTGGTAAGTTTCGGATTTTCGAAGTCAAATACAGCATGCTGAAATATTTGGTCACTGATGTAACTATATTAGGAAACTAGGTAGTCAATAGGAGCAACAACTCTAAACAGTGTAATAGCTCGTCATATAATTCATACCGAGCATACAACCAATATTCCACAATCGTTTCAAATCGTTAGCAGAAAAAAACACGTAGTCTCTCCAGTTTCCCGAAGCACCAACAATAAAAAAATTAAAACCTGACTTGTGTATCCAGAATAAGACAATATTCAACTTATTTCTACCATGGTAAAATATTTCTTTTATTGTCATTATTTTATTGGCGTTTATTTTGTTATGTGGTCTTCGCTAAACTAACTCTTATTTTATGTAAACCAAAATTATCCGTTTATTCGTGTAGTCTTTATTTACTTGATGCTCCTGTGTAAACTCTTCAAATCCTGTTCAATTATGACGCAACCTGCCTTATTAACTTCTAATTCCTGTAATTATATTTAAACCCTTCAACATCTCTGAAATTATCGCAGTCTTATCTGTTTCCAGACCTCAGTCAGTCAGTCAATAACAACGTAGAACTTCGTACGTACGTACATCAGTTCGAGTTGCCACACCACCTTAACACAGAAATGCAGTTGTCGATTCAAATCCCATTGTGGTAGAGGTAGCAAGAGTGTAAGCAGTGATCGGGAAGATTAGGGTTTGGAGATGTTATTTAAAGAGTATAATTCAGTGAAATAAATTTGGAAAGAGGAAAAAAGGGACATGAAGAATTCAGAAGATTAGAATTTGGGAGAACACAAAGAGTGGATGCACCTGCGCCATTGCAAACGATTTTGAGCCATGTCATTCAGGGTCTCTAACCATCGGTTGCTATCATCTCGCGGTCCCCAACCAGGTAGTCTACACCTATCAACATGACTCAGACCACTTGTCAGTGACTTCATGGACTTGTGCCAAGTTTTGGTCTGGCCGCCCCTAGCTTTCTTCCAACCTACTCCTATACCACTGAACATCGCACGTCGAGGCAGTCGGTCGTTAAGCATACGTAACACGTGTCCCAGCCATCTCAACTGATGAAGTTTCACTACTTCATCAATTGATTTGCCATCCTTACCTAGTACCCGTTTCTTAACAACTGCATTACTTACTCGATGGTCCCAGGATATACGAGCAATGCTTCGAAGACACCTATGATCAAATACTAGTAACGTACGAATATTCTCTACTCTTACCGGCCATGTTTCACTGCCATAAAGTGGGACGGAACGAACTGCTGCGCAGTAAACATGTCCTTTGGTTGATAGACGGATATCTCGCCCACGCCATAAATGACGCAAGTTGGCATAAGCTAGTCGAGCCTTCTGTATCCGTGCTGAGATTTCGTCACACACCAGACCACAAGGGCTGATGAGACTTCCAAGATAAGTGAAGCGGTCGACACACTCAACTACTTCACTCCCTATCACTAGTTCGGGTGTCGATGTAACCCAATCCTGAAGCAATATTTTGCATTTCGAGGGAGAGAATCGCATCCCGAACATGCTTGCATTGTTGCTTAGAGTGGTCTGAACACTCTGCATTTTGTCAGCGTCTTCACCAAATAAAACTATGTCATCAGCATATTCTAAGTCAACAAGTGAACCTCCTGGTAGAAGTTCAACCCCTGGAAATTTAGATGAGGAGAGTGTTATCTCTAAAAGTACGTCGACCACAAAGTTGAACAAGAATGGAGAGAGTGGACAGCCCTGACGAACACCACTTGAGGTAATCAATTCTGATGACAGTTCGCCATAAGCTCTCACTCGACCAATTGTGTTCGAGTAGAGATCCTTTACAAGATTAATGTACTTCTTTGATACTCCTTTCAGTGACAAACACTGCCATAGAACCTTACGATCAACAGAGTCGAATGCTGCCTTAACGTCGAGAATTACTACCATTGTGGGGCGTCTAAACGTGTGTGTGTGTTCTAGAACCTGACGTAGTGTGAATATTTGGTCTATACAACCACGTCCAGGTCGAAAACCAGCCTGATTTTCTCTAGTCTGTTCTTCACGAGCTTTATTTAGGCGTCGAAGTATTATTGAAGCTAATATTTTAGACACTATATTAGTCAAACTGATTCCTCTATGATTGTCACAAGAGGACTTTTGTCCTTTCTTATAGACTGGCACAATCAGTGATTGAGATCAGTCAGATGGGATTACGTCCAGTTCCCAAATTCTACCTAAGACCTCGGTTAATCTCATTGCTAATACTGGACCACCATCCTTAAAAATCTCAGGAGTAAACCTGTCAGGGCCTGCTGCTCTCCCTCGTTTCAGATTTTGTATGGCTTTTTCAACTTCGTAAAGAGACGGAGGACCTACATTAACTTGCCATTCAGGTTGACTGGGGATTGTGGGAAACCGAAGTGTGGCTGAAGGCCAGTTGAACTGATCCCTGAAGTGTTCTGCCTATCGATCCAATCTCCTGGATTGGGAATGAATAATATGTCCATCTTTCTCTGAGATTGTTTCGCTAACGGTCGGGTTCCTAATTCCGGTTTCCTTAACGAGTCTGAACAATTGTCTGCTATTACCTATTGCCGCTGCCTTCTCCATCTCTCTTGCTTTCGCTACCCACCACTGTTCGCGATCGTTGCGTAGGCTTCTTGTTAGTTTGCGCTTAAGCTGACTCCGCTCTCCAATATGTTCAGAGCCAGGTGGAATGAGTTTCCGAGCATCTATCAGTGCGATAGATGCTGCTGAGATCCAGTGTTGCTCCCTAACCTTCTGGTTTACCTTACTAGCAGATATCACTGCGGTTTCCACAGCTTTTCGGATATCATTCCATGCTGCCTCGGGGTGGGCATCAAATACATGGCTGTCTAACTGTTTTTCTAGTTGTTCCTGAAATATACTCTTAGCTTGACTATCATTAAGTAGGCCCCTAAGAGGTTTCCTTGCAGCGTCTTTCCTACGTCCAGTAAGACCCAAGCAAATACGCGCTCGCACTAGAGCATGATCTGAATCTAAGCATGTGCTCCAGAATGAGCGACAGTCTTCTATCGAGCCCCTCCATCGGTGGCTGATGGCGATGTGATCTATTTGGGTCTAATGTTGGGACGAATTAGGGGGTCGCCATGTTAAAAGATGTTTTTCCTTATGCTTAAAGTTAGTATTTGCAAGGAACAGGCGATTATCTGAGCATAGCTGCAACAGACGGTCGCCATTATCTGTTCTTTGAGCCACGACACCATAAGATCCACCTAGGTGTCTTTCCCTATCACTTAGTTTACCTACTTGAGCATTAAAGTCACCGGCCACTATTACTACATCATAGCGCCTAGCTTTTCGGAGAAGGTCGGAAAGCTTTCTGTAAAACTCATCTTTTACATCATCTGAGCTGCAGTCAGTGGGAGAATAAGCAGAAACGACGAAGAGGCAACGACGGGTGTCCCTATTTTTCCGAGTCCTTACTGTTCCGTTCAGTCGGACAGCGCACAAACGACTGTCTACTGGGATCCACTCTAAGAGAGCTAATTCTGCCCTAGGGCTCAATGCTATACCTACGCCGGCGAGTCCACGGGAAGCAGAATCAGGGCTTCCAGATACACGAAGCGTAAATCGAGTCGGTTCTTTATTTTGGCATGGTGAAGTCAAATGAATGACGCTACTCGGATCTTGTATGCGCGTTTCGGAGACGCAGCACACATCGATGGCGCGAGATTCTAAAGTCCTAGCTAAGGAAGCCTGCTGTCCTATTTGGCACAGTGTTCGGACGTTAAAAGCTCCTACGTGTAGTTTAGAGTGTGGTTTCAGGAGACCAAGAATCGAGTTCCACGTACTCGAATCGTTTGCCCTAGCGGTGCGATGTGATAAAGAGACATGAGGAGGGTTAGTCATGGAGATAAGAGAGGTATTAGGAGGTGTAGGAAGGATTTGAATGTGACCAACTTGGTCTCGTGTGCTGTTACGGGTATGAGGGCTGATGTCACTTCCCGGCTGCCCACACCGTGGAAGGGTATTTCTTGAGGAACCTGAAAAGGAAATTGGATTAGTGTTGACCCTAACGACCTTGGAGCGTGACCGCAGAGCCCAAGGGACAACTGCTTGAGCCGGTCGCGCACGGCCTTTTTGTGGAAGGATTTTGACGTGTTAGCTCCGTTCTTCAAAGGGCCTTACCGCCGGAGACGGAAATCCGTGAGGTAAGGTGAGGTGTGACATTTTTAGGGTCGAACTTTTCTAACCCCACCCCTCCTTGTGGGAAGGAAGCATCGCTGTCATGCTGGTTGTCTGAGGGAAACACCTTACTGCTGTCACAACTCTCTACAGTCAGCAGTACGACTTCGCCCTCAGACCTTGAGTTGCTGCTTTTAGTCTTACCGTTCACCAATCGACCTGCCTGGCATGGTAGAACCTACAGGAACATATGTTCCAGCCAATATAGCTCGGTTGGGTCATCACAATAGGCAAGCCCGACCACCGCGTCAAGGTAGCAGCTTCGGTCGGGCAGCAGCTTCGTTTCGGACCTCATTTAATTGCTGCTCATTTCCTCCCCCAATTATTTTGAATTCCAATGAACTCACACCTGTCATTGTACAGATATATATATATATATATATATATATATATATATATATATATAGTATTGGCAATACTTGTCATTTTAATTCTTTTCGTCATCAAAGTCTAATGTTTCACATTATATCATACTTTAATGCCAACTTTTACTACATATATGGTTGTAAGCAGTTGATGTTAAACCACAAAATATAATGAATTCATATTCTGCCTCAATTGTTGTTTTGGCTTTATTCAAACTAGTGAAGAACATCAGAGCTGACAAGCGGAAATATGTAGGAGACCTGAGAACGACAGCAGAAAAGTTTGCAAAAGAAGGGATTATGCAAGAACTACATGATACTATTAAAGTCAGTGGGGAAAGAAAAGCAGTACACAGACCTCCCTACAAATATTGCTACACCAACAGTAAGAGATATTAGCAAGGCAACCATATAAACCAGTAATGCCAAAGTACCATAACCAGAGAGCATACCAGGTGAAACCACTAAGGAGTACCTGAGACAGTCATCGCCATACGGAACTCCTATGAGCCTTCAGTGGAAAATCGTGTATGGAGGACAGCTCACTGATGCATTCTCAGCGTACACTTGTTTTAGATAAGATTGCCTACTCTCACCTGTTCTCTTTGTGCTAGTCGCCGACTAGAATATGAAGACCACAATTCATGATAAGCACGGAATACAATGAGGACTGAGGGCGTAGCTGGGTGATTTTAATTCTGCAGATGAATCGGTCTTCCTGTCCTATACACAGCGGTAAACAAGAACGAATACAGCTAGTGTAGAAGAAAATTTCGCAGAAATAAGCTTCAATATTAGCAAGGAAAGAAGCACGAACCTAAAGTATGACACAGAGTAGCATGTAAGCTCAACCTATGTCGGTTCTCTTGACGAAGTGGGGGATTATTGTCTCTGTGTAGTAGTGCTACTGAGTAACAATTGGAAAGGAAAACCCGAGACAAAGTCCTTTGGAGGTTCACAGCTAGCGACGTATGTAGGCAAATACCTCTTGAGATGAATATCAGGGTTACGCTATGAGTAGAAAAAACCACTGGAGTGAGGAGGAACGTTACGACACCACTATTTAGGACCATGTTAGCGCCAATCTGTTGTCTGCATTATGCTCAGTGGGTGAGACTGTAATTTGTGGACAGCCTGTGAGCGATGTTAAAATGACCTAGGGGAAACTCGGTCACTTGCTAAGGTCAAACGTGGGTTATACATTAGTGGAGAAACATGATTGGGATTTCCAGCTGGAAAGATTTAGTACTCAAATATAAGGTTATTATTACGAAATGACATCAGCAATAATGCCAAAATTATATATAAGCAAACAGATAAGTGAAATTCGTGCAACAATCCAACGGCCAACTCAAATCTCGTAAGTCATAGTCCCACTGTGCAACACTAGGCGGATAGAATCGCTTTCAGTTACTGAAAAGGCTAGAACATCTTTGGACCCTATAATTAGATACCTATGAGACCGAGTGATTTGGGAGATACCATTTTTAGCGCGCAAGACATGGTAGTCACACACCGCGCCATGACCTTCAGTTGGACAACTGACCCACATTGGAGAAGACAGGAGGCCTGTGTTAATCCTGCTAATTGTGTTATCTCAGTTGATCTCAATTTCTTTTGAAGGAGTCGACAGATGGGGCTTCAGTCACGTGTTACGGTAACTAGTTCTTATTGTCGATGATCCAAGGTTAGTTTTAGTTTCCGTTTCCGTTTGGAAAGGACAGGAGGCTTGGTGGCTTGTGTTAGTCCTGGCAATGATGATCTCTCAGTTGATCCAACTTTCTTTCGAAAGGGTCGACCGATGGAGCCTCAATCACATGCTGAGGTAATGAATTCCACTCGTTGATGATTCGATGTGAAAGTCGATAGTCAGCTGACAAGTAATTTGTTCTGGACTTGTGAACGCTTTTGGAGTGTCCTCGTAAATTCTCTGTTTTGGAAGTCAAGAAAAATGAGGGCACATCAGGTGCAAATTTATCACTGAGCAATTTGAAAAGTGTAATCAAGTCACCTCTAGTTCTACGGTATGACAACGGGAAAAGGTTCAGCTTGGCCAGTCGAGCATCATACGGAAGCTTCGCTATTCCGGGAATCAACTTAGTTTCTGTTTTCTGAACCTTTTCCAAAAGCTCACTGTCTTTTTTAAGCAGGAGCTAGCCGCTCGTATGCAGTACTCAAGTTTAGGACGTACGAACACTGTACACAAATTCAAAAACTTTTTAGCGTCGACATGACCAAAAGCCCTAGGTATTGACCATAAGGTTCTAAAACCTTTAGCGGCTATTGCACAACAGTGTGCAGTAGTCTTTTAGTCTTGGCTAACGATGACTCCTAAGTCATTATGTATCTGAACAACATGTAGCTCAGTGTTATTCATGGTGTATGTGTCCGTACCTTGATGACCGATATGCATCACAACACACTTGGAAGTATCTATCGGCAACTGCCAGGTTTGAAACCATTCAGATCATTTCTTCAGGTCGTTTTGGAGTTCTAAGCTATCACCCTTACATCGTATCGTTCTCCGTATTTTGACATCGTCAGCATACAGCAAAACCGATGATGATAGGAGACGAGGAAGGTTATTTACATACAAGAGGAATAACACTGGCCCCAAGACTGTACCCTGGAGTACTGCACTAAGCATAGTTTCCCAGCTAGATAACTTTGAGTTTACCCGTACTCTTTTCAACATCCAATAAAATATAATAGAAAATATGGTGTCCATACAAATTAAGGAAGTGAATGAAAATTTGAACTATACTGTTTTGACATTTAGTTAGTTGTTTGAGTTAAACTCTTAACCAATCAACCTAAGCTGTTACATTAGCTTCTTCTAGAATCGACTTACGTAGGAACGTTAGTTCGATTAACCTGTCTATCTTAAACACCTGAATTCTGTTTCCGCAGCCCAATGGAGAATTATCAATTCGCACAGTGTTTGAACTCCAATCAATGACGACAAACGTCGTCAGCAATCAACGATAGTTTGTAATCTTATTTTGTAGCATTTAATTTCTTCTAAAACGGTCTCTGACGGTTCGCTATGTGCTCTTCTTTGTGTCTTCATGCCCACTTTTTATCACGTGATTTATTCGCCAATCGAAGTGCGACGTATTTGCTCTTGTACTAGACTTAACTAATGACGTCCGACCGTTCTGATCAGCCTAACGTCCTTATTGGTCCTTTGCTTTTTTAGCCCATCCAAATGAGTCCAGAGTCCCAATAACAGCCTCCCCCATGCGAATCATTTATTTCAGAAATACTGAGTTTATATATATACCAAACAGACCACAACGCACCATAAAATAGGAAATAACGTTTATACACAATGAAGCCAAAATGTGGCTGTGAACGTGGGTGACAGTTATTTACAAATTCAGTATAATTTAAGAACAGCAAATCTTATAATAATAAATTATAGGTAAAGACGAAGCTTATAATAGGGGAACTGTAGATAAAAATAGTTCAATTACTGAATAGTTATACCATAAGAATATATAGATCATATTAGTCAACTAATGGGTCTCAGAAGCTACTCACAATTTAATCTTCGCTAGGACATAACACCTCTCTTTTTTGAAGAGCCGAAGTTTAAATCCTGATTTTAAAAAATTCGTGTAACTTTAAACTCTCCGATAATATCTTCTTCCATAGAGTAATGTCGGTTCCTCATATTTCCAAGTTACAATTAATGACTTCATTTAAACCATGTTTCTCTCACTGAATGGGGAATGTAGTAGAAATGGCTAAATGGTTATTTGATTTCAGGTAATCAGGATTTGGGTCTCGTGAAAAATTTCTTCAAATTCATTACGAATCTGGTTACTTGATACTAGGTCACTAGGAAAATCAACATCTAGCAAAATTAGATAAAACTTTTGAACATAATTTGGTTCGGCCGACATATCCTCATTTTTATAAGAAATTTCACCAAAATCATGTGCATTATTGTGAGAAGTCATATCTAGTAAATGGACATGTAAAATAAGATACGAATTCGGTTCATTAAAAGCTTGTCTTCTAATTATTTTGAGTAGCTTTTAGTACAACTAGATTTATCGTACTGTCCCAGCTATTGTCTAGATATGTGCTTTCACAGCCTTCTTGACTAATATCACCTGAGCCATCATTTTGTTGTGGATAGAGTTTCTTTTCAGAGTTAGACAGGGCCAATAGTGGTTCATTTGATTATGGACTCAGGATTTCATTTACAGGATCTGTTCCTTGATCATCTGGTGTTGTCACAACTTTATGTGCATTAAGCAAAATATTGTCTTGCTGTGAGCCGGACAACTTACTAATGTTACATTCTCTTACAGGTATAAAGGGATCCAAACCCTCCAAAGGGCATGCTTCTAAAATGATCGTTAATGGACTAGTATCTGCATCATAAAAAGATTCTTTACTTTCCCTATGTTCTGGAATATTTTGTTGAATAAATAGTTTCCACAAAAATGTTTCCAGGAGTTGCTGTTCAGCAGCTAACATCTTGTGCTGTTGTAATAATAACTTCAACTGCTCTAAAGTAATTGCCAATTTTACCGCTAATAACAATATTAACTTCAAAAGTGTTACGCAGTGTCTGACGTTCAGTAGTCGTTTGCGTGCTTTTCAAAACATAGTCTTCTTCCAGAACCCTTTGTTTTCAGTCGTTTGTCAGGTATCACCAAAGTTTCATCATGACTGTTCATTATCGGGAGAGGTATCGTAGTTGTCAGACTCGTGTCTTTCGACTGTAACGGACGAAAATCGACATGAGTTGGGTTTCCTTCTAAATACGCGGCTTTAAGTCAACCGATGCTAATGCTATTACTATTTCTGTTCTTATCGATAATACAGCACCTAGGTTAACGCTGAAGAACTTTAGAGGGTCCTTCGTATGTCGTTTTGAGAGACCGTCGAAGTGAGTCGCGACATACAGAGACATGTGTATTGTGTCGTAGAGCAGGTTGAACGAAAACATCAATTGATTGCGGTCGAGTGAAAGCAGGTTTAACTGAACGCATTGCATTTGTAAGCCTGCTCGTATGAAAATTTAGGTCCACTTTCCTTAAAGAAGACGAGGGAACCACGAATTCTCCTGGAAGTCGGAGTATCGTTCTATAAACGAGTTGAGCCTCAGTGTATCAAATGTCAACTTTCACTGCACTGCGAATGTCCAATTAGACGGGTGCACTGTGAAACATTTGCAGCTGATAGTAAAGACTTTCACTCTCAATAAAAGCGTTCTACAAATCTGTTAGGTTGTGAGTGATAGGCGGTCGTTTGGAGTCGCGTGAATTCTAATAGTGAAGTTAGAAAACGAAAAGATCGGAATTAAAACTAGAGTTATACAAGTTATACGAGACGAAGTGTTTGCAACTACATTGCCTCAAAATGTGTTGTATATGAGAAGTAAAATGCAAAGTTAGTACAGTTGTCTCGATACTCGGGGCAGAATGCATGTCTGAAGGTTAGCTTGACAAAGGGATAAGTTGTTCGCGATCGATGAAGTTCCTCGAAGTTCCACAGAGCGTTGAAAGTGCCGTGCAACACAACGCATGGCTAGGAGCTCCCTACCGAAAACGCTACACCTCGATTCGATGTCTAGCAACCGTCTCGAGGAGTATGCCAAAGGTCCTCAGTTGTGGTTTACCTATTGTTGTAAGACTCCTCCGATTGCCGAGTCGGATGCGTTTACCGCAATACTAATGGGTGCCCCAGTGTCTAGGCATGTGAGCAATGTTGATTCGGCGATAAGTTCCTTAACTGCAGAGAACGCTTTTTCGCGTTATTTTTCAAATCGATGGATTTCGTATTTCCACGAAGTTGGTCAGTCAAATGTCTCATAAAAGACGCGCGTTTCGGTATGGACCACTTGCAGAAATTTACTAGGCGGTTGAACGTGCGTAGTTGCTTTATTGTAGTCGGCTCTTGGTAGTCCAGAATAGCTACCACTTTGCTTTTTAGAGAGCGGATGCCTTGAGCATCAATGGTTTGCCCGAGAAAATCTAGAGAGTCGGTGCTGGCTTGACATTTCTGGATATTTACAGTGATGTCGTGTTTTTGCAGTCGTTCGAAGACAAGGTCCAGGTGCTGGAGACGAGATTTTCCGTTTGGACTTACAATCAAGAAGTTGTAGAACTTATGGTCTACTATGATATTAGTACTGCTCTAATAATAGACCTAACCCTAAACTTGTAGATTTGTCATGATATGACTGCCTAATCTATAAGATCTTACGTGGAAGTCACACCATCGACTACACCAACTCACTGTATCGTATCAATTACCAATACATGATGTAGAACAAGGTTAGGCTAGAGAAAGAACAATATATTTAATATGAAAAGAAGATATAAGGTAACATTCAGCAGAGACCACGCCTGCATGGCCGAGCCATGCCGTTCGATCAACTCAAGTCTATTCAATTCATTATTCGCGCCTTCTCCATCGTTAGGTATTTCTTCGCGTTAAATATTGAATACCTATTTTCCGAGTAATCTCGTATTCAGTTTTGAGGATAGTGTGGTTATGGTCCAATGCCACTA